ACTGTAATTGCTCCTTGATTGATGGAAGAGGCGTCACTTCACCAACGTCAATCTCGATGTCCTCTGAATCATTTACAATTGACTGGATTATAATCTGGTCCACAAGTTGCTCGTCAGACACTCCCGCAATGCAGTCATCCTCACCGATAGGGTTGAGCAGATCTTCAATGTCCATTCGAACCGAAGGTGGAACCAGCTGCGCAACAGCGTTCTGAAACTCCGTTGCCTCATCCTGTAAGTCGCTTTCGTTGATTTCTGCAATTGGGCCGATAGGCCCAGTGTGTCGCCGGCAATTGGCGATAATGCCAGCATCCATTGCTCTCCAAATTCGGTTGAATGAGAGCATGGCACTTAGGATATCAACTTTGTAAATGTTGGATATGGTTTCTGCTTCCGCTAAATCCAACGCCCGATCCATCTGGTACTTCCTATACTGTACTTTCATTGACGCTATAATTCCGGCGTCACATGGTTGTAATTTCGGCGTTGTACTAGGGGGAAGGAAGCACAGCTCAATATTCTGTAGCGCAGGTGCAGTCTCTAAAGTGCCGTGAGCGCTGCAGTTGTCAACAAGCAAAAGAATCTTTCGACCTTGCGAAGTGAAGTGTGCATCGAGCCGTTTCAGCCACTCGTAGAAAACTTCTGACGTCATCCAGGCCCTCTTATTGGCATGGTATTCAAGCCCATCATCCTGTCCAGACTTTTTTTAATGGTCTCGGTCGCAAGGCGGTTCCAATGAACATAAGTTCAACCTTTTCTGAACCATCCGCGCTTGCGCACACTAACACTGTGATGCGGTCCTTTGCCTTTTTGCGACCAGGGGGGCGTTGCATGGCAACCGTGCGGTCGGGGGCAAGCTTGTAGAAGAGGCCGCACTCATCAGCATTGAAAACATTTCTCCGATCGTACCGTCTTATCTTCTCCTTCAGTCCCGGAAGAGCATCGTCGACCGCACCCAAATCCGCATCACCGCCCTCTCCATGCGTCTTGAAGGAACGCAGACTCCAACGACGTTTGAAGTTTGCCACCCACCCGGCGCTGAAGTTTAGCTTCGTTCTCTCGCTTGGCTGCAGCGTTGCATTACACAGGTCTTGGAGCTTCTTGGCCTTTGCAATTATTTAAGGACCGTTAATCATCTTTCGCAAGGATGCTTGATCACAAATCCAGGAGAAGAGTGCCCGCTCAAGTTCCGGTTTTGCACCTCGCTTCATTCGAATTGATTTGCTCACCCTTAGTTGAGGTTCCCGAGTGGTGATTTTTCTTGCTTGTTTGAGGACGCGAGCAACCGTTGACTTGCCCGGGGTCGTGCAGAGGCAAAATGTTTCCTGCCACCACAGCGCCATGACACGACATGTCGCACTCTCATGACTCTCACTGCGGCGGAGAACTTCGTTAAGCAAGGAGCGCTTTTGCACTTCGTGAAGCGTGGCGTACTTCATAGCACTGCAGCTTTCAGGACAGTTCAGTATCTGGATGAGCTGAGATTCGCGGAGAGGAGAGGGAATCGAGCAACAAGTCAGATCTAAACGTTCAAGTCTGCTGCCGTGCTGTGCTCTTTGATTTTGCTGAACATTGAAGAACCCCCTCCAGAGGGTCCATGGAATCCAAAACATCAGTCCCAATTATCAAATTTGGGACAACCGTAGAATTTGATTAAATTTTGAAGGGAACGAGGACGGTGGACTGATTTCTGTCCCGTTTATCACGACGTCCCAATTATCGAGGTCCCAATTATCGCGACTGCACTATACACGAAAAAGAACCGATATAAGAATATTAAACTCGAGCAGTTTCAAAGTTGCTGCTGCAACGCGAGTTGGTGTTAGTTGTGTTGCTCTCGGCCCTTTGCGGGTGCTGTAGGGACGTTTGAGATCGCAGAAGATCGATGGGATGGATGACGCGAATTACTACATTCTTTGGCAGTACAGTACACCGGAGGCGCAATAGAAACATGATAACGTCCCCAAACATAGTAATAAACCACTTACAGTATTAGAATACAGCCCTCTGAATCCGATTGTATTCTTATACCGGGGATTACTGTACTACGCTACCTTCGGTGCATCAAAAGAGATCTCTCAGCTGCCAAAGTGCAAACGCAGAAGCAGACGAGAATTGATTCCTTCTTTTCAGGGGCCAGTAACCTTGCTGGACAAGCGTCATAACTGCCGCCATAGGAATATTCTCTTTACGTGAATAGCAATGTCCTTTCCCGTCCTCATTCTTATAAAGAGAGATTACTGTATACGTATTGTACCAAGGGGTACTGTGCCCTTGCCGACGGGCACCGCTGCCTTTTTATCCACCAACACGTTGTGCAAAGTCAGTTGCGCGCAGTGCCTCTCAAGTGCAGGTCATGTGACCTGCACTTGAGGCACTGCACGCCATATGTGAACATATGACCTCACCAGATCACAGCAATGCAACTGTGCTGCATGCGGTCATTTTTCAACCCCCTCTGCTGCCCTTCCATTTGCTTGACAACAACGCCAAACTTGCCCTTCGATGCCCCGTTTTTATTGCAAATGACGTCTGCCCCGCGGCAAACCGCATCCTGGGATGATCCTGGGATGCGGTTGTTGCCGCGGGGCAGACGTCATGGTGGGACCACCAACAACTCTCCCTTCTTCCCATCTCCATTCTTCTCACCTTATTCACCGAAAGTCTCCTGAAAAATCGTTGTGGACAACGTTTCAAGCCTTGTTTCTTTCTTGCCTTGAACCAAAGAATACACGATTCATACCCTCTATGAATCCCACTCACACACTCTAAAATGATTATAACGACTTCGTTTCTCACACCCTTTAAAAAGCCCCTCTCTCAATCTCTCTCGATGCTTGTTAAACACGTTGGCGTACACGAATACAATAGTAGAATGCAATCGTGTCCAAAAAGATGCGTTAATGAGTCTCAAGTTGAGACTCATTAACGCATCATTTTGTCGAAAAGGGACAGAACTAGTTGAGACTCTCAACTAGTTCTGTCCCTTTTCGACACCATGGGATTAGCCCATATTGAGTGCCTTGTTCCCCGGTAGGGGGCCCTGCGCCGCTGCTCTTCCACTGCCTTCCACTCAATATAGTATCCGCCTTGCGCCCGCGTCTCATGTTTTCCGCCTGTCCTGACATGCATCACAGACAAATTCAATTCGTCACTGTGACGTTGTTTCTTTTCTTCGGAAAACAAAAAACCCTGCACTGTTGATCCTCCCTTGAAGCGTCTCGAGACAATATGAATTCTTCTTCTCACACTACTGTACCCTCCCTGTTGTCATGCAGTATTTACTTCCCTCCACCTTAAACTAGGAACTCATTTACTACACATCCGTGTTTGAGTTGCTCTTCTTTCAATGGAATTCTAGGTTGTACATTAACGTTGTCCGCGTTCAGAAAATCCGAGCAAACTCGCCGCCAAGACACGCGTTTTCGTGACTTTACGGACAACGTTATTGTACGAAGGAGTCAAAAAGTATTCTCGTCCTTGATGTTAGAGCATAACCGAGACGATTGGCTCAGAAGAGGACTTGTAGGTTAACAATCCGCAAGAGGAGAGCAAGACATGTCTCAGAGTAAGAAAATGAGCACAAGTGGGATGTAGATATATCCTACATGTACACTAGCAGCCGTCTCAAAGAAGAACGCAGATATCAACTCGGAAGACTGGGGGCGCGGGAAAACTGAGCTTTGAACCGCTTGGAAGTGAAATACCCTGGGTCCATTCTACTGGACCCTTGAGGTTGTTCCAGTAATGCTGAAGAGTGAATCAGCATAGCAAGTTTCCCGTGATGTCATACTTTTGCGATCATGCTCGGAAGAGAGTGTGGCATACGATTGTAATGGAGACCGGTGTCATTGATACATGTAGTTTGGTTCGATGTTGAATGCGTTATATCCCGCTAACCCATGTACCGTACATGGGAGGTAATAGCAGAGTTCTCGCTAAAAACAATTATTGATGGAAAGGCAGGTATGCTGAGGGTGGTTCGAGCTTTCTGCTTGAATAACGCGGACGAAGAATGAGGGTCTTCGCGGAGACGAGGGCATTGTCTAATAGATACCAACTCCATTTAGGGAACTGCTGATGAAAGCCCAGTATCTCGCACAATGAAGCCACTGAGGAGAGCAGTACTGATTCAAAAGAAATCAGCGATGACTAAATGCAGTACTAACGGAATGCAAATGTTTGTTTTTACGTTAAAACAGTTTTCAGAAGCTTAAACAGGGTCATTTGTGCTGGACAAGCAAACATGGAGTTCGACTTTTAAGGTGGCACCTCGTTGAGATACTCACTGTATTGTGCATATGGTTTTCTCCAAACTACAGCTGTGATATTACTACCTAATACTATTAGGTAGTAATATCACAGCTGTAGTTTCGTGCGTCCTCCCAATATCATATTGGGAGGACGCACGAAACACGGTCTTGATTCTTTTGAAAAGGAATCAAGATCGCGTTTCGTGTCCATCAAAGCGCATGAAAACACCCTCTGCAGTACCCTTCAAGGGTACATGCCAGTTTATTTTGATGGCTCAGGCCCAATACAGTACTTCAGTGCCCTTCAATCCGTTTCTGCTCAAAATCACGCAATAAACCGAAAAAGGGGTGATGTTTTTTATCGCTCTTTTTTGCTCTTTTTTTTTCAATAAATTGTTTCACAGGCACTCTTCGAACTCAGTATGGAATGCCTTAAAAGTGGGATGCATTAATCGATTGTACACGTAGGAACGAACGCCGTCCGTCCCGGCAAAAATCAGGTCCATTGCTGTTGCCTGCTTGATCCCAAACGCGATTGACACCATCCATGACCACAGAACAGAGTAGCCAAGACACAAGAGCTCCTGTGTGAAATTCAACGGTGGCGCCGCCGTCGCTTTTCCGAGAAGAAAGGAAACTAGCGCTTACTCACTCAAGTCAGCACTAAGCCGCTTGCAAAAAACAGCTGGTCCGTTGAGTGGTGCAAGGCTATTTCTTCTCCAGACTCCTCTGTCTGCGACATCACCAATGCCAGCAACGATAGGGCAGTTGCCTTCACATCTTGAGAAGGCGCGTTCCAGAGTTGGCGTCGGATTCAAGAAGATTAGCAACCCAGTCGGAACATATGGCGCGCGGACATATCAAAGCCTAGGCTACGACAATAGTTTGCGCCTAAACGACTTTAAGGAAAATTGCACTCTTGAAATACTCTTCTGCGATGACGAAGAGGTGCTGTTTGATTTGGTCGGGACCGATGCTCCAATTGCTAATGCTCTGCGACGCATCCTGCTCAGCGAAGTACCAACGCTCGCCATTGAAAACGTCTTCGTGCACAGGAATACATCCATTATGCACGACGAACAACTGGCGCATCGCCTTGGACTCGTGCCGCTGAAGATCGACCCGCGGCCTTTTGAGTATTGGGAAAAGGGTCTACCGGTGACAGTGGCGAATACTGTGAAGTTAAGCTTGCGGACAAAGTGTGAGTTTAACCCGTCTGCGCCGAGAGATGGTGAGGCCCCCCCTAGCGTCTTGTACAAAAATTCCAGCGTGTTAAGCGGTTCAATTGAACATGTCCCGTTCGGAGGTCATGAACAAAGTAAGTTCATCGGCAATGAAGTACCAAGGCCTGTTCACGAGGATATTCTGCTATGTAAATTACGGCCTGGACAGGAAATCCATGTTGAAATGGATGCCACGAAAAACATCGGCAGGGAACACGCGAAGTGGTCCCCTGTTGCGACAGCTGGTTACAGGATGCTTCCGGAAGTGAATTTGAAAACTCGCGTTGTTGGTGCAACTGCGAAAAGACTTGTGAACCTATGTCCGGCGAAGGTGTTTGATATTGAAGACGACGTTGCGGTTGTGGCACGACCACGGGATTGTACTGTCTGCCGCGAGTGCATTAGAGAACCCGAATGGGAGGAAAGAGTTGAACTCACACGAAAGCGTGACCATTTTATCTTTTCTGTGGAAAGCACTGGGGCCATGCCTGCACCTACTCTTGTTACAGAAGCACTGTCTGTACTTACCGGCAAGTGTGATTTGGTGCTTGCAGCACTGGACGCAGCCCTTAAACAACGGACGACTCACGATAACGGTGTCGATGAGGAAAATCCGGACGTAGAAATGGACGAAAGTGAGGGATCCTGATGACATTACCTTGGTATGCCCTGAGGGCGTATCTAGTTTGTACTTCGACTTGATTATAGGTGCTGCGAGCCACTCTTCGCTCAAAGCGAGTGTTGTCCGCTGGATAGGTGTACGTCCATGTAAAGTTATGTGTTTCGCCTTTCCGTGGATGATTTCCGTGGCGACAAGATTAACTTCCTGTCAACCTTATGGCGACAGCTTCTGCTTCCTGATTAAGTTATTTGATTACTGCCGTGGTAAACTCAATGATTGTGATGATCGCGGAAGCCGAATCACCAAAATCCCCATCCAGAATTGATGCCACGACCAATGCTGCCCATGAGTCTATTACCTCTAGCCTTCTTCCGCGACTCTTCTTCCCTCTGGGCACGAAGTCTCTCAGTAAGCGAGCTGGCTCCCTGCGAGATGGTGTTTTTCTTTTTGGCATTCTTCTTTGCCACGGCGCGGAAGGTCTGTCCACTCTTGTCGAGATACTCTGGTTGTCCGCCGCCATTTTCCTTTTCCGCGTTGTCGATATCGGTATCCTTATCCGACTTCGCTTCCGACTCGTCCTCCTCGTCGTCTGACTGGAGCTCCGGCAAGAGATCGACCGTGGTCCCGGTCATAGTCCCGATAAAGGACGCCAGGTCCTCTGGCGGGTTCCTAGTGTACACAACGGCGACCTCCGCGCCGATTTCAAAAGCGACCGAAATAACGCCGCGTTTCCGAATGATCAATTGTTCAACGCGCATACAAGTAACGTCATCGGAAATACCCGGCACATGGAGCCTCGCCGTAAGCGGCTCCTTCAACAAGCCGGGCTCATCCTCAAAAGCGGGGTCCTTCTCTTTCAAACCAGCGGCCTTCTCGAGCTCATCGAGCTCATCCATCTCATCATCGTCATTCTCATCCGTGAGCTCCTCAAGGATGTCAAAAATGTCCTGGCGCAGGTCGCCCGCGGCCTCCTCCGACACGAGCAGGTCCCTGAGCGCGTCGACGAGGGCGTCCTCCGAGCGGAGCACGTCGAAGTTGTCCACGTGCGACGCGAGGTTCTTCAGGGCGGCGACGGCTATCGCCGCGACCTCTACGTCGTTGCCCGCGACGAAGCCCGCCAGGGCGCGCATGCAGCCCTCCTCGCGCGCGATGATCGGCTGGTTGTCCGTGTCGGCGGACAGCGAGCGCAGCTGCACGGCGACTGTTCGGACGCTCGCCGCGTCCGCTACTGACATGTTGCGAGCGGAGAACGGATTGAAACGTGGGGTGCTGGGGAGGTTGGGCAGAGGTCGACAAGGGGCGAGCGCAAGATGGGCGCGGCGGGCTGAGATGGAGGACGGTGGTGCGTGCTCGAGGACTCTTCCGCGATGGTTCGGTTGCGTGGGAAGGGGCGGCGAGTTGCTTGTAAGTTGGGAGACGGCAGATGGGTCGGTGGATGCGGAGGGGGGTGGCCCTTGGAGAGGATAGAAGCTGTTGTGGTTGTACGGTATGGGGGAAGGGAGAGGAGGCAAAAAAAAGAGACGTTTGTATTTTGGGATGATTTCTACATTTCTGTGGAGAGAAGAACGTTGAAGAAGTGGGGATGAAATTTGAATGAAATTGAGAGGCAAGCATGAGAATCGGCGGCAATGTGGTCGATTCGAGTCCTCATTTTTGTCCCTTGCGCTTCCCGCTCTGCACGCCTTTCGCACTGTGCCCTTGTGCCGTCTTGCTGAGGTACGGTATACCCTATTTTCGCCTCCTACGCCCTGTTTTTGGATGCTGTTCCTGATCAACTACAGTACGTACAGTACCCAAGGGTACGTACGGCTGGTGACTGGTGCAGTCTCTGCGTATACCCTTCAAGGGTACCACCTATCGCGCAGCGCAGCCAATTTCGCATGACGCGTAGGGAGAGGTACCATGGCTGTTGGATACACGCTCAAAGGCGCGCGTGTGCTCGTCGGCAGCGATCACCACGTGCAAAGCATCGAGTTGCAATCAACCTTCTACAGCAAAACCGTGATAAAGTTTATAAAAAGAAAAAGCTAAGCACCCACGAAGCGCGTGAGCAACACAAATAAAAAATAAATTCACTACAACCCTAACAGAAAGACAACCGAACCCTCCAGTCTGAAATGAACTAAAACAACAACAACAACAAAAAGAGTGACATCAATAGCCGCGGCCGTCAGACATCCGCAGGAACGACGAAATAGCCGATGGTCCTCTCCGCCTGCTCGCGAAACGAAAGCTGTCCCTCCGTCGGCGCTTCTCTCACGGGCGTCAAGTGGTGCTCCACAAGCTCATGCCTCTCGATGGTGCCTGCATGCTCGCTCCGGTACTCGCATTCCCTGCACTGTATCATGACCTTCCTGTGTGCGTTCTGCACGTGCTGGCGGACATGAAAGCGGGTGGGGAACCTGCATCGGCACTCGGGGCACGTGGCGGGCATCTTGGAGCGGTCGTGGCACGCGAACATGTGGTGGTTGAGGTCCTTTGCGTGGCCGAAGATGCCGGCGCAGATGGGGCAGTGGTGGCACGGCACGCGCCGGTGCACCATGCGCACGTGCAGGTTGAGGATGCGAGCGGTGTAGAACGTGTCCTCACAGCCCGGCTCCGTGCACGGCATCGCCTCCGCGCCCGCCGCGCCGTGCGGCGACATCGACAGCGACTTGGACAGCGACTTGGACAGCGACTTGGACAGCGTCTTCGGGAGCGTCGAGTTGGTGCGCAGCAGCGTGTCCGCGATCTTGGAGGCGGACGGGAGCGCACCGAGGGGAGGGGCGGTAGCCATTTTGTAGGGGAGCGGGAACGGCGGGGAGGGGGGAGGGGGAGGGGTGGGGGTGGTTGCGTGCGAGTGCGGGGATGTAGCGTCTCGGCGTTGCCGGAGAGTTGGGTTGGGGCGGGGCGACGGGTTGTGCCGGTCGGGCGTTCGCGGGGCAGAGGGAGGAGTGTTCGCAGGGGGGTGTTGAAAAGAGCGGGAGGGGCGGTGTTGAAAGTTTCAACTTGAAAGATGGCCTGGAGGAGAGCAGTGCTGGCATCAAAAAGGAGTTGTGGGAGGAACGGACCGTTTCGAAGGGGTCGAGATGAAACGATCCAATTTAAAAATTATGAGCACTCGGTCGGTATTGGAGATTTCAAACGGCGTCTGTAATTTGCGGAGTCGGCTCTTCTATTGGCTGTTTCTGCGCGGAAACAGTCGCACTTCCACGCGCCCCTCGAGAGCCGTCTCTTCCCATTCGCGCCGCTGTCCTGTGTGCGACCCGTGTGCATCCCCGCCCTTCCGCCGTGGACCCCGTTCTCGGAACATTCAGAACATTCTCCCACCCTTGCCGCGTCGTAACCGTAACCGTACAACAGAGCTAAGACCCCAACCAAACGGTTACGAGGGTCTAAGCTCTGTTGTAAATAAAGATGTAAGGTATATGATAAGGTACACTCCGACCGTACGGTTCCGATACCCTCGAAACCTTCACGTCGTCAAACCCCAGCAACAGTCCACACATACTCTGCAATAATATCATAGTATACAGTATACCCATAAACAGCAACTCGTATTTGGAAACACAATCAACCCCTCCCAGGTGCAACTACATACGTCCCAACCACGTCCCAACCACGTCCCAACCACGTCCCAAACATGTCCCAGTAGTTCCCGCCCGCGTCTATCGCATACGCACACGACAGTTTCATCGACCACCGCAACCCACCCTCTTTCCCGCTTCGAAAAGGGGCCCACCCCCTCATCCCAATCTCACCTGCATCTGCGGACGGCCCCCGCAACGAACCTCCCTCGCCGACAACTTCCCTACGCGCCTGCTCCACATCTCGGCGACTTGCCCCACCAGCACGGCCAATCCACTTCCCGAAAATCCTTCGTCCAATAAAACGGCACCCGCCGACCATCCCAATGCACCCCGCGCCAGCCGTCCCGCTTCTCCACCGCCGCACCCCCGCCGCCCGCACCCCGAGCCGCTCCCGCACCATCCCCGTCGCCGCGATGCCCGCCGCCTGGCCCGCCCGCCCATGCCTGCTCCCTGCGCGCGCGCACCTCGCCCACGGCCCGCCCCGCCGGATGGCGCCGAGGTCAGCGTCAAGTCGCTGCTGCAGGCGCCGCCGCCGGAGCTGCCGCTGGAGGTGACGGTGAATGCGCACTGGCTGGCGGTGGACGGCAAGCAGCCTGCGATTTCGCAAAACCCGATGAAGCAAACGCAGAGGGAGGAGTTGGAGAGCGGGAAGAGAGAGTCAGACGGGACGGACGGTGAGGGGACACAAGTAGAGGTGAGGGCGCCGTTGAAGCACGACTTGACGCGGGAGCTGCAGCTTTACTTTCAACACGTGCAAGACGCGATATTCGGGGAGGATGTGGGGCAGCTAGAGGCGTGCTTGAATTCGATATCGGAGGACGCGGGGATCGCGGTGCTGCTTCCATACCTGACGAAGTTTGTGAAGGACAGCGTGCAGCGGTCGATACGAGACTTGCGGGTATTGTTTTCGGTGATGCGGCTGGTGCGGGCGATGTTGGAGAACGAGGTGTTCAGCGAGCTGGAGCGGTACCTGCACCAGCTGCTTCCGGCTGTGATGTCATGCGTGGTGGGGAAGCGGCTGTGTCGGAATCCGCGCGAGAATCACTGGGCGCTGAGAGACTACACGGCGGGGCTGCTACGAGAAATCTGTGGGACTGCGTACGCGAAAGGGTACGTGGGGGTGCAGCAGCGGATCGTGAAGACGTTTGTGGATGCACTGAAGGACGTGAAACGGCCGCTGACGACGCACTATGGGGCGATTGTGGGGATCACTTGTTTAGGGAAGCACACGGTGGAGGGGGTGGTTGTGCCGCTGCTGAAGGGGTATTTGCCAAAGATCATTGGGCTTGTGGAGGATGTACGACAGAAGAGCGTACGTCGTGAGGAAGGGTCCAAGGTATTTGGGGCGCTGGCGTGGGCGGTGTCAGAGGATGGGGTTGGGAATGGGGTGCGACCGGGACAAAATGGGGAAGCCAGCTTGAATGGAATGAGTGATGGGATGCAATGGAAGGCGGCCGGGGCAGCGGGAGGAAAAGTGTCGATATCTCGCATGTCAAGTGTGGTACCCCGTGCCGAGGAAGTGCATGAGAGACTGTGGAGGGAGATGGACAGGCGACTCTATCCGTTCGGGGAATCCAAGTCCGAGTCGGAACTGGCCGTGTCTCTAGCTGAACAAAAGAAGGCCGCTACATAGGTGTACATGTTCATTAAAAACTATTGTGGCAGAGCAACAGTGCTTGCTGGTGCCTACTTCCAACGCGCTGTTCAGCGTGGAGCAACCTTTTCATGGCACTTCATGACGGCTTCATACCGCGTTCCTAAACTGCAGCATTCGCTCCACTCGCAACCTGCTCCAGCTATGGTTCTCCTCTCATCAGTGCACACCTTTCTTGTCAGTATCGACTCGTGGTCGTCCGCCTCATACATGGTGGTAATGAAAATCCGTTTTACTCTGCACTGCCGAAACCATTTTTTCCCAAATTCCACACCATGACACACTCGCATACATTACACGACATGACTGCCGTTCACGTTTTGGGATCTCCGCGCATTCGCAAACCACAACAAATCTCTCCACTGTCATGGATACCTTCCCCCTGTTCACGGCCTGGAGCGTCTCGTCTCGCAGACGATTCCCTCGACACGCTTTGACAGCGGAAACAACCACCAAGGTCTCCGATTCCATCCACGCGGGCAACCAGGGGATTGCTAATAAACGCGATTTCCAGCGACGACAAAAGGGGACATCTTGATCCTACCAACGCTTACAGGTGCCCATCAGTTACAGGCAGAGCACTCACACGCCGATGTCGTGCGGATGCTACGGGTTAACAGAGACGCACCGGAGAGCTTGACACGGTATAAACGTGATCTTACCCAAAACAGTTCTTGAAGTATGGCACAGTACCTACATTGGCTTCTGCCTTGCCCGCAACCCAAATGAAATGAGCGTATAGCACACATAATGATGTGCTGCACATCACAGATGCCCCGCATTCTAATGCCGCCACCTGCTACTCACCTCATGCGACACGGCGTAGAGTTTGTCATGTTCGCTTGTGCTCAAGTGTAGGGCGAGTGGGAAACTGGTGGATAATCACTTGAGACATGTCATGTGTAGACCTAAGGGCAGCCCGTTGGCGTAATGGGACAATTTCGCTTTTAGCACCGGGGTATCAGACCAGCAGCGTATCACACGCATACTTAGTGACGCCAACACCCGCCATCGCCCTAATACAAAAGACCAACTGTCTGCAGTATTTCAATGCGACGGAAGTAGCAAGAACATAGTTAGTTGTCATTCACAAAGGGTTTGATTTTTTTTTAGCATTGCCGTATGAGATGTCTGGTGTCACGGATGAGAACAACGACTGTCCAAATAGGCGGCGATTTTGTAAGGGCGTGGGTTTTTCAACAGAAGACTGGCACGGCCATAATTTGCTGTCCATGCTTAGCTTCGAGCTTTGCAATAACATCATAAATATAAGCATCGATATTCTCGCACTTGTCAATTTCCTCGACCAACTCGACTGCAAGCTTCGCGCCTTCAGCGGCAGCCGCATGTGTATCCTTAACTTCCAAGTTAATAACATAACCCGGAGCGAAGACTGACGGAGCGCGATTCGAAACAAAGTCGTCGACCACGGCTCTGAAGACGCGGTCCTCGAACGTGATAATGACATCAAACCTCTCGCGGGCGTCCCTCCATTGCTCGGGGGCCTGCTTGATCATGGCGTTGCGATCCAGCATGGCCAGGACGCCGTTGGCGGTGTACAGCGCGGCGTCGCGGCTCTGCAGCTCGGCGCGCATCTGCTCGTACGGCATGTTGAACGGAAAGATGACCGGATCCATGGCGGTGCGTCCGGGCAGCTTCACTGAGCTGCCCGTGCCGTACGAGCGCACCGACGCGTACCCGCGCTGCGCTAGCTCCCGGTGGGCCTCCATGCTCCGGTTTTGGTTCGAGGCGCACACGCAGCACACGCGCAGCCGCCGGGTGGACATGGCTCTGGCCTGCGACGGTCCGCTCCGCCGTGTCGGGCTCGCTAAGCCGGACGTCGAGAGTAGCTTGAAAGGTAGGCAAGTTGGCCCGACAGTCCCCAGGGCGACGGTTGAGGGACCTGCCTGCCTCAAGGAAAAAAAAGTGGAGAAGGCATCCTCCAAAAGTGTAAAATTTGTAAAACATTTCTGCTACATCTGTACTGTAGATGGACCTCTCCAGTGAACAAATCCAGTGCTCTGCCTTTCGATAAATCCGGCCTGGACCCAATAATAACGCGCGAGCAGCACGAGCAGCCCCCTGCTTCGTGCGCTACCCCAGCACGCCCCGGAGACCTGCAAATTGGCTCTATCATACGCGTGCATTCCCCCCGCGCCCCCTTCCCTCCCTCCCCTCACGTCGAGCCGCCGAGGAATGGCCGTGCACGGATCGCTAGAGTCCGGACTCGGCGTCTCTGCCACGATGGAGCCGCCTAACAAGCGCGTCGCGAAGCGCAAGCGCACCCCGGACAAGCCCGAGGAGGACGCCCGCCTCAGCCCCGAGGCCGTGCATGTCATTGCCCAGTCCGTGCACAACTTGCCTCCGCTGTCGGACCCGGCCGCCGCCACCCTGGCCCTGGACGCCGAGTACCGCGTGCGCCAGATTGTGCAGGAGGGCATCAAATTCATGAAGCACTCCAAGCAGAACACCTTGCTCCCGTCCCACGTCAGTATTGCCCTCCGCGTGCTAAACGTCGAGCCCGTATACGGCTTTGGTGCGAAGCGGCGGCGGGGCAATCATGGCGCGGGGGCCTTTGTCGGTGCGGTAGCGGGTGCGTTGGGGAAGCCAGATGCGGCGGGTGGGGGGACGCAGCGGGAGGGCCAGTTTGGTCAGGTGGACGGCGTTCCGGAACTGTTTTTCGTACACGATTCGGAAGTCAGCGTCAAGTCTCTGCTGCAGGCGCCGCCGCCGGAGCTGCCGCTGGAGGTGACGGTGAATGCGCACTGGCTGGCGGTGGACGGCAAGCAGCCTGCGATTTCGCAAAACCCGATGAAGCAGACACAGAGGGAGGAGTTGGAGAGCGGGAAGAGAGAGTCAGACGGGACGGACGGTGAGGGGACACAAGTAGAGGTGAGGGCGCCGTTGAAGCACGACTTGACGCGGGAGCTGCAGCTTTACTTTCAACACGTGCAAGACGCGATATTCGGGGAGGATGTGGGGCAGCTGGAGGCGTGCTTGAATTCGATATCGGAGGACGCGGGGATCGCGGTGCTGCTTCCATACCTGACGAAGTTTGTGAAGGACAGCGTGCAGCGGTCGATACGAGACTTGCGGGTATTGTTTTCGGTGATGCGGCTGGTGCGGGCGATGTTGGAGAACGAGGTGTTCAGCGAGCTGGAGCGGTACCTGCACCAGCTGCTTCCGGCTGTGATGTCATGCGTGGTGGGGAAGCGGCTGTGTCGGAATCCGCGCGAGAATCACTGGGCGCTGAGAGACTACACGGCGGGGCTGCTACGAGAAATCTGTGGGACTGCGTACGCGAAAGGGTACGTGGGGGTGCAGCAGCGGATCGTGAAGACGTTTGTGGATGCACTGAAGGACGTGAAACGGCCGCTGACGACGCACTATGGGGCGATTGTGGGGATCACTTGTTTAGGGAAGCACACGGTGGAGGGGGTGGTTGTGCCGCTGCTGAAGGGGTATTTGCCAAAGATCATTGGGCTTGTGGAGGATGTACGACAGAAGAGTGTACGTCGTGAGGAAGGGTCCAAGGTATTTGGGGCGCTGGCGTGGGCGGTGTCAGAGGATGGGGTTGGGAATGGGGTGCGACCGGGACAAAATGGGGAAGCCAGCTTGAATGGAATGAGTGATGGGATGCAATGGAAGGCGGCCGGGGCAGCGGGAGGAAAAGTGTCGATATCTCGCATGTCAAGTGTGGTACCCCGTGCCGAGGAAGTGCATGAGAGACTGTGGAGGGAGATGGACAGGCGACTCTATCCGTTCGGGGAATCCAAGTCCGAGTCGGAACTGGCCGTGTCTCTAGCTGAACAAAAGAAGGCCGCTACATAGGTGTACATGTTCATTAAAAACTATTGTGGCAGAGCGTTCTAGCATTGCTTGCTGGTGCTTACTTCCAACGCGCTGTTCAGCGTGGAGCAACCTTTTCATGGCACTTCATGACGGCTTCATACCGCGTTCCTAAACTGCAGCATTCGCTCCACTCGCAACCTGCTCCAGCTATGGTCCTCCTCTCATCAGTGCACACCTTTCTTGTCAGTATCGACTCGTGGTCGTCCGCCTCATACATGGTGGTAATGAAAATCCGTTTTACCCTGCACTGCCGAAAACCATTCTTCCCAAATTCCACATCATGACACACTCGCATACATTACATGACACGACTGCCGTTCACGTTTTCTGGGATCTCCGCGCATTCGCAAACCACAACAAATCTCTCCACTGTCATGGATACCTCCCCTTGTTCACGGCCTGGAGCGTCTCGTCTCGCAGACGATTCTCTCGACACCCATTGCTAGCGGAAACAACCACCAAGGTCTCCGATTCCATCCACGCGGGCAACCAGGGGATTGCTAATAAACGTGATTTTCCAGCGACGACAAAAGGGGACATCTTGATCCTATCAACGATTACAGGTGCCCATCAGTCACAGGCAGAGCACTCAGACGCCGATGTCGTGCGGATGCTACGGGTTAACAGAGACGCACCGGAGAGCTTAACACGATATAAACGTGATCTTACCCAAAACAGTTGTTGAAGTACAGTACCCTTAGGGTACAGTACCTGCATTGGCTTCTGCCTTGCCCGCAACCCTGGCGAAAAGGGCCTGTAGCATACGATACACAATGATGCATTGTATACCACAGCTAACCGCATGCAGCAACGAGAAAAAGGAGCGCTTCTTCCTCCATTTATCATCGAGGGCTCTAGAAGACGGCTTCACCTATTACTGCTACGCACACGCGACGACAAGACAGCAGCGGTAGCCGACCTCTACAAAATTGTTATCCCCACAAAGCCGACTACTGCCCATCTTTCTCCGGCTTGGCCTCCGCGACCTGCGGAGCCTTGCTCCTAAACACGCCACGCCGCTTCTGTCTCAAGCCCAGCGCCTTTGCGACTGCAGCAAACCCGCCGGCCTTGCTAACAGCATACGAGAGATCATTCCTGCCGTACATCCTGAGCTGCCTCTCTGTCGGGATAGTCTGCGTGCGCGCGAGGTCGGGAAAGTACTTGATAGTAAACGCGTGGAGTGCAACCTTGAGCTTCTGCTCATCCCACACGCGCGGGGCTCCCTGGGCCTTGGTATTCCTCGCGCGCAAGCCGAGGCGGTTCGCGACGGCGGGGAAGCCGCCGTGCGCGGCGACGG